GGAGGAGGGTAGAGAGAATGGTGCAACAATGAATGAATGAAAGCCCAAAATCTCTATAAATGTTCATTAGAACTAATAAAATTTAATAATAATAAAAAAAAGAATTCACAATCGTAAAGAAGAGGTAAGGCTCATTGGGCTGATAGAGGTGGAGATGGATAGAACTCCCAACTCTAGGGCAGTTAAATACTCTTCAAACATGGAACTAAAACTATTCCTAGAGAGAGCTCTTCAGCCAAATAGCCTATACTGAATAATAACACTCAAGGGGCATGCTCCTCAGAAGAAGCAAACATATGAGACCATTCAGTATTCTTACCAACACTACAAAGGTATTGATTATTCAGTCTTTGTTTGTTTACATGCATATGAAGTGATTAAAAATACCATACATTTGCTCCAAAATAAAGTTCAGAAGGCAAGAAAGGGTGCCAAAGGTGGGTGAACGGAAATGGGAAACAAGAAGAAAGCTGTTGCATTGAAGAAATTACATCTATTGCCAAAACACAATTCCTTACCATGTAATCAAATCATTGTATTTGTTAGAGCTTCACATCTGATTTCTAAGGATGGAATTTAAGATAGAGTCCCATTTCCAACTTAATGGATTTGTTAATATCTTGAGTCCCAGAGTAAGAGCCAAGACTGAACAATTGCAGATCTAGAATTAATATTTTCTTTATTGAATTTTGTAATATTGTCTGTATCTTAGACTGTGGCTAAATACTTGTATATATCTCTAATAATTGAATGTTAAGCGGTTCTCTCCACTTTTCTAAAGAGAAAAATCTCAAGAAAGGTGGGATTTTTTCCCCATAAACTGAATCGGTAAACTGTGACAGACACAGAAGAAACCAGAAGTATACCCTACTAATACATAACTGTGCTAATTTAGGCTTGTTGGTTATTGTTGTTGTTAGGTTCCATCAAGTTAGTTCTGAGCCAAAGAGCAATCCTATGGTTAAAAAAAAAATCCACCAACCAGCCACCCCCTACCTGGTCCTGTGTCCTTCATGGTCATTGCTATTTTGGAGCCTAATTATTTCAGCCACTGTGTCAGTCCACTTCATTGAGGGTCATCTTTTATCATTGACCTTCTCTTTCTCAAAACATGATGTCCATCAGGAAAACATGTCCTTCCTGATAACATGCCCAAAGTCTATGAGATGAAGTGCCACTTCAAGAAATATTTTGGTTGTACTTCTTCCAAGACAGATTTATTCATTCTTCTGGAAGTCCATTCAATATTCTTCACCAACGCTAGAAAGGCATTGATTATTCAGAGTCTATCTTTGTTTGTTTACATTCATGTGAAGTGATTACAAATGTCATGGCTTGAGTCAAGAGCAATTTAGTCCTCAAGGTGACATCCTTGGTCTTTAACACTGTGATGTTAAGACTTTTAAAAGTGACTTTTCTATCCGTTGCCTTAGCCCCTTTTGGAAGTGTGGTCACCAGCTGCGTCATTGGCAGATGCATGGTTCACTGTTTATCAGCATCTTCAACAGCACCAAGAGCTGCCAGGCCAACAGAAGAGAGGAAGCTAACCTGACTGTAGGGAGACTACAGCAAGACATAGCCTAATGGAGCCCTGAAGACAGAGCCAGAATTACTTTAATTGGTTCTTATCATATGTTACCATTTAAAGTAATTCAACTAATTCCTTTTGTTACAGTGACTGAATAGTCTTTCGTCTTCTTCCGATGCACCCTGCATCATTCAATACTTTCCCCATACACTCATTCAGTATTGCAACTCAAGGCTTAAGGGAGTTTTTCTTTAATTATTTCAACTTGAGAAATGCCAAGCATGTTCTTCCCTTTTGGTTTTCTAACTCTGCCATTTCTCTATAATACTTTGATTTGTCTTCTCTTGAAAAGCCACTCTTGGAAATCTTCTGTTTCAATGTTTTGTTTTGAATACTCTTCATTCACCAGCAAGTTTCATAGTATCTTCTGGCATCCATGTTGGTATTTTTTGTCCTTTTTTTTTCCAGACATGAATAATACTTCAAAGAGTAGTTTTAGAAATGTGGCTCTTTTCCCATCCTCATGTCATTTTAGTCTGACTTCCCCACCCATGCATTCTTGACATCAGAATAGTGCCACCTTTTCAGCAACTGGCATGCGTCCCACCACCTGTCATTTGCAATTCAGCGTGAGCAGCATGGGATGCAGTACTTGGTAAGGCTGTATCTGATATCTCTGGAAATCTTTTCCCCAGCTATAAAAACCTATTACTACTCGTGATCTCCAGTAACCACTTAGTGTATTGCTTTTTTTAGTGATCTTTAAAGTCCTTGTTTTCAACAGCATCCTGCACTTAAAATTGTTAGGTCATGCCTGCAAAAATAATTACTAACTTCATATTAAAACCTTTGGTTCCTTTTCCACTCGTCCCATCAAGTGAATGACTTCTAAAACCATCCAAAACATACCCCCGTTGACATTGTTTCAGGCTAATGCATCTTCCTCAACTGTACTTTGTCCAAAATAAAGTAACTGAGAAAGTGCTTGGTATGAGAGACTTTATAAGGGCTTTAGTATGAAATGCCTCTTTTTCTGAAGGATAATTGTAGGGAAGGCAAAAAAAAATCTATCCATAGTTTTTGCCACTTTTTATGGTTTAAACAGAAAAAGAGAGTATACCCAGAGAAAAATCATCTTTGTATTCTTGTGCAAAATTATGGAATTTGAAGGAATTTAGCTTGCAAACAAACCTTGATGATGTAGATTGATAAATTCTATTGGGGTTTTTTGGCTTTTTTAAATTTAAATAAAATTTTTCTTTTATACTGGTTTACTTACAAAGTTAGTATGCATTGTTTTTTACACCACATCTTTCCCATTTCCTTTTCCCACCCCTCCCTCAACCCATCAAATTATGTGACCCTAAGATTAATCCCTTCCCCCTCCACTCCATCCATCATCACCCCACCTTCCCTCAAACTCAGTCCCGTAAGGACAAATACTGTATAAGACCTTTCTTGTAGAACATGTATGAGGATCCAAGCCTGTTGTTTTGAAATTGCTTACATTGGAACCAAATTAAGATAGTTCATAGTTTGAAAAATACCACGTCTACTTGGTTAAACCTCCTTCCAACCCTGAGCCTTATGTACTTTTAACATTAATTTTAAAAAACAAAACAAAAAAACCACAAAACTTCAAATGCATTGGTCTTGCACCGGAAAACCAACCTCCAGCTGGTTTTTGGTGGGCTGCAAATCACACAGCAAGAGATTGCCATCTTTCTTCCGTGGAGCCATTGATGGAATTGAATTACTAGAGAGATAGCAACTTGGGGTTAGCATTGCAACCCCCTAACCCACTAGGCCACCAGAGCCCGACTCCCCACCTTCTCCAAAACAGGAAGAGAGAGAGTGTAAGAGAGAAGATAAAATAGTTCGAAATATATTTTAGAATTAAAAATTGAGAGAACTGAGCAGTTAGATTTCCCTAGTGTTACTTCCTCTTTATGATATGTTATTTCCATTCTTTTCATCTGAGTATTTCCAAGAGAATCAGCCTAAAAGAACATTTTACGGATTAGGTGGCAGTTATTTGATTGATATGGTTGAAGATAGCATAGGACATATTCTTTACTTTCAAAATATCTTAAGTCTTTGTTCTTGCCCACAGCAGTAGTATATGTGAGAACTTTTCAGACACTTGCCACCGCTTCATCTTAAAAAGCTATGACAATTTTGCCTTCTTTTTTGTTTAGAGTAAATTATCTGAGAGGTAGACAGCTTAAAATAAGTTACATTACAAAACTCTACTTCTATAAGATCTTTTCATTTCTAAGATTATAGATGCCATTTTAAAATGTTAATTAGAAGATGCATTTGTTTTAATTCTTGATACTGAAAATATTGACTGAATTGTGAATTAACACATTTAGGGTTGCAGATGTCATTTTTTTCATGAGATTTCCTGAATGATGTAATTTTCATATTTCATATAGCAGTTTGATCAATTTACAGATTTATTTTACATAATTAGATGGTAAATGAGAAATTCAATTGCTGATATAGAACTATTTTTCTATATTATAAAAAAGAAGCTAAAATTCTGAATTATAAATAAAAAACTAAATATTTTTAAGACATCTGGTCCACATCTGTTTGAAATAAGATAATTTAAAACAGTGTAATTAAATGCAAGAAGTACTGAAATATTCACACCTTACAATGTAAAAAATAACTCATTCCATTTTAATGTGATTTATTGAACTAGAATTTTTTATTATTTTGATGTCCTTTAGCCTCTCATTCTGTCATCACAAAGAAGACTGACAAATATATAAACAACAAAAAAATATGTTTTTCAAAGCCTTCACTAAATGAAAGAATTATCTTTATTATTTCTCTTTCATATGCTGAATAACCTCCACTCCTAAGTTAATAGTGTATATAGACTCAGGTTTACTCCTTTTGATGTATTTGTAATTCTCCATTCATTTATTTCAAATGAGAGATTAGTGAGAGGGTGTATAATCTCACTCCCTAAATTGTGAGTTCCTTATAGACACAAAGGGGCTCAATAAATGTGAGAGGAATGTATTCATACCCATGGAAATGAAAAGCATCTTTGGTATATTCTCATCATCAGTAAAAAAAAATGATTCCTTTGAAGATTGGCCCTTTTTAAAAAGCCTACATTAAGTGGGAAAATTAACCTCTTAGGAGAAAGAAAAACCTAACTACATGTTTTGTAATGTAACCTTAAAATGTGGAAACAAGATCAATTTCTCTATTAGTAAAAGGCTACAGAGCCTTAAAATGAGTAGAATAGAATTTTGATCCTAAGAAGCAAGTTACTAGAGGTGAAAGCACTCAGTGCTGGTGTGGGTTCTAGGGGGACAGACAGTTCTGCTGGGATCCCACGTGCTCCTGAGACCAGCAGATCACAGGAAGTATTGGTGCTATGAGGAGAAAAAACATTTCCTGTTGCTAAATACCCTAAGAAAACATAGATGCATTTTATGTTTTTTTCTAGGGAACATGATAAAGATCCAGAGAGGTTTTTTAAGGTATTAATGCATCTAAAGGACCTTGGACTCAATTTCCACGTCTCTGTACTTGGAGAAACCTTCACAGATGTCCCAGGTACCTCTTTTGAACTTTGTAATATGTCTTTTTATAGATGACACAGCTCTGTAACTTAAGTATTAAGTTCCATGTTTTCCTTTGTTAGAATAATCAAGATGAGCACTGTTAACCAAAAGATTATACGACGGCATTAAAGTCTGATTCAATTAAAAAAATACTTAAGTAAGCATTCTTTGATTTAAGTTGAGAACGTGAAGTCATCTCTTTTATCAAATATAGTTTATACAATGCATCTTGATGTAAATAAAATATATTGCTTTAGGCATCTTAACACTTAAAGGAAGAAGGAATTTGTAATTGGATTTACAACCTCTCACCCCTGGGGTCACTGGTTTGAATCCCACTCTAACTGGTAATGAATGAAATGCATTACCATCTGTTAGGTGGCCCATAGAAGGCATTTGGCATCTAATATATAATATAGAATGGACCACAGTCTGTACTATAGTTGTCATTGGTCTATTTTTTTTAATTGAGCATGAGAAAAACAGATAAAAGTTTGATGCTCATTGCACAGATCCTTTCTTTGGTAATGTCACAAGGAGGGCCGTTTTCTACGCTGCCTGCTCATAGGTTATGTTTGGATCCATATTTGAGCACTTTGTTACCTTTCATCAATAATTACAGGCTCTTTTTTATTTTTACCTTTGTATGTTCAGCATTTTGGGGGAACTCTAAATATGCAGAAGACAATAAAAACTCAGAAATAGTCTCTGCATTCTTTTTATGACACTTAAGGGCTACTTTATGTTTATCCTCAATAAATACACATTGATTCTGATGTAAGCTGAAGAACTAATGGTCCCTATTTCAGTCATCTTATCTGACATGGCTTATCTTCAGACCTCTGCAATTTATTGATACAAGCCTGTTTTCACACACACACACACACACATGCACACACACACACTCACACTCACCCTTTGGACATTTCCCTGCTTATTTCGACTATATAGCCTTTAGCTCTCAGCTGAGGGGCAATTTCTTCATTATAGTCTCACAGCACACTATGCTTTTTTTTCTTTATTGTGCTTATACTTTGCTTACAAAGTTCATATACATTGTGTTTCATACACTCACTCCCATTCATCATGTTTTGTAAAATTAATCACCATTGGACTATCCCCACCATTACTCTGTCTTTTCAGGTCTACCATATATTTTCCATGTTCTTTACCTCCTCTCTCCACCCCCAAATTGTAGAAATCTGTGACTTTACCTCTACCCGTCCTCACCACTCTGCTCCCACCCCTACCCCCCAGAATCCCCATACATGGTTTACTAGTTATCCTTCTACTTTTACAATAATGGTCTTATGCATGTGAGTTTTTTAATTGCCTACTCCACCCTAAATATATACTAGCAAATAGGTTCTATGAAGTCCGACATGTGCATCGCTACCCTAAAGTCTTCCCAAAATCCCTGCGCTATGCTTGGACCAAATTAATACTTGTTAAATAAGTGAGGAAAATAATGTAAACTCCCTGTCTTCAGGGAACTTATAGCTTTATTGAGATGGGAGCACATGAACAGAAGCACAAGAAACAAAGTGAAACACAAGATATTACATGTGGGTGTCTGTGGCATCCTGAATGTGAGCAGGTCTGACACAGCAAGACCATGAAAGAAAACACCTGGTGATCAGCTTCCAGTAAGATTGCAGCCAAGAGGAAAAGTATAAAGAGTTTGCAAACACAACATTGGGATAGGTGAAAGGGAGCTCAACCTAAGATAAACAGATGATTAACAGTCTGGAATAGGACATGTATTATAGATGAAGGGAGGGGAAGGGGGACAAATATGTATAAATGAGTGGAAAACAAACCAACAACAACAAAATTACAGCCAAGAAACCATTCTGGAGCAGTTCTCTATAGCCGATAGGGTCACCATGGGTGAGAATCAGCTCTGTGTAGTGACAACAACAACTAATAAATGTGACTTGAAATAGAGAACTCAGTTGAAGAGTAAGAACAAACCTCCTGCCAGTACTGTTCCAAGAGATCATTTCCCACTGGGGTGGCCCTTTCTTGGGTTTGCAGTCTTTAGTGGAGGAGATTTCCCATCTTTCTCCTGCAGAGCGGCTGCTGGATTCGACCTGCTGGTATTTCAGTTAACAGTACAACACGTATTGTACTACCCCACCAGGGCTCCTTAATACTTGACTAACCAAATTTTTAAAATAGTCAGAACTGTCTACTTAGGCAAATAGCTATAAAATTAAACATTTTTAAATATTATATAAATGAGGAAACAACTTCACTGACTACTGCTGTTCAGTGCCTAGTCTAAATGAATAGGAGATTTTACCTGCAAACTTTAATAAGTGGGTAATTAATGCATTTTGCTAGGTAGCTTAAGCCCAAAATACTGAGGATCCTAAATAACCAAAAATTACTACATAATGGTAATGAATGACTTAAAACTCTTTGCCATTGAGTTAGAACTAACTCAAAACTGACCATTAATTTTTCTAAGGCAATAACTCTCATGAGAAGAAAGTGTCCATTTTTCTCCTTTGGAGCCCTGGTGGATTCGAACTGCCTTTGAGTTAACAATGCACCTCCTTAGGTACTAAGCCAGAATTGATAAGCTTTTGTGTACAGTTTAGTCAGAATCAACCCATAGCTGACCCTCCAGAGGGTTTTCAAGGTAGTTAATTGCATGGGAGGAGATTGCCGGTTTCCCTCCAGTAGAGCAGCTGGTGGATTCAGACCACATACCTTCAGGTTGACAGCCTAACCCCCTTACCACTGGGCCACCAGAATAGAGATCCTAAATCTTAAACAGGGAAGATAAATGGTGAAACTTGTATTTCAAAGAGCTGTAACTTGAATTTTTATGAAGGAATAATACAGAGATTAGTGAAAGGGCGAGAGAGAGAGTTTCTCAAAGTACAGAAAAATAATTTCGTATAGGTGATGTGGAGAAGGCAGGAAAGAAGAATTCAACTCTTGCAAAGCCAATGAGTTCATTTTGTTCCATCTTTAAGGTATTTGCAGATACTGACAGGAAAGCCCTAAGCAGAAGGCTCCTGAGCCCATTTACCATTGTGTATAGGTTGCCATTTCAGAAATCTCCTCTGTTTTTATAATGACCTTTTGCTTTCTTCATGAATGATATCCTTAATATCATCCCATAAATCATCTGGTCTTCAATCGTTAGTGTACAATGCTTCAAACTTATTCTTAGATGATCTTGAAATTCAGATGGAATAGATTCAAGATCATATCTTGGTTCCTGTCAGCTTATTTTCATTTCCTTCAGCCTCATTGTGAACTTACACATGAGTAATTGATGGTCTGACCCATAATCTGCCCCTGACCTAGATCTGACTGCAGATACTGAGCTTCTCTGATAATTCCTTCCACAGATGTAGTCAGTTTGATTATTATGTAGCCTACCAGGTAAGGTCTGTGTATGAAGTTGTCATTTATAGTCATTTAAAAAAAAAAAAGTAATTCAGGGATATCATCCATGAAGAAAGAAACAAGGTCATTACAAAGAGGAGAAAGAAAACAAAATGGATGTCAAAAGAGACTCTGAAAATTGCACTGGAGTATCCAGAAGCCAAGAGCAGCTCGAGAGGACAAAGTAAATAATTATAATGGAATCTGAAGAGAGCTGGAATTGGAGAATAAAAAAGGAAGAACTCACTCTTGCATTTCTCAAGCTGAGTGAACTGAAAAACAAATTTAAGCCTTGAGTCGCAATATTGAAAGATGCTATGGGCAATATATTGAATGATCCAGAAAGCATAAAAAGAAGGAGGAAGAGGTGAGGGAATGTACAAATGGTAAATGTAATTAATGACACTGGAAACTGTACTCTTAAAAATTAGAATGGTGAGGGGAAAAAAGAAAAAAGAAGAAGAGGAAGGACACACAGAATCACTGTCTAAAAAGAACTGACACAGTGAAAAATTACAGGAAGTAGGATATGAGCAGAGCCAATGGTAGTGAAGGAGGAAGTGGAAGCTACACTGAAGCCATTTGCAAAATTTGTTAGGAATTGATGGGATACCTGTTGACCTGTTTCAACTAGCAGGTGCAATCTTGGATGCAGTCACCAGTCTATGCCAGGAAATTTGGAGAAAAGCTGTCTGGCCGATGGGATGGAAGAGATCTAAATTTGTTCCCATTCCCCAAAACAGTGATCCAACAGAATGTGGAAACTGTCAAACAATATCATTACTATCACATGTAAGCAATATACTGCTGAAGATCATTCAAAAATGGCTAAAATAGTACATAGATAGGGAACTGCCAGAAGTTCATGCAGAATTTAGAAGAGGCATCACGAATACCATTGCTGATGCCAGATGGATTTTGGCTGAAAGTAAAGAATACCAGAAGAATGTCTATTTATGCCTTATTGACTATGCAAAGACATTTAATTGTGTGGATCATAATAAGTTATGGCTAACATTGAGAAGAATGGGAATTCCCAGAGCACTTAATTGTGTTCATGTGAAACCTAGACCTAGGCCTGGAGGCTGTTGTCTGAACAGAGCAGGGTAGCACTGCATGCTTTAAAATTAATAAAGGAGTGCATCAGGGTTGTAGTCCCTCTATATACCTATTAAATCTGTACTTTGAGCAAATTATTCAAGAAGCTGAACTCTATGAGGAGGAATGTGACATGAGGATCATAGGAAGACTCATCAATAACCTACATTATGCAATGATGTAACCTTGCTTGCTGAAAGTGGAGGACTTGAAACACTTGTTACAAAAGATCAAAGAATACAGCCTTACAGTTTGAAGATTCCTCTAAAAGCTGAACTTAGAAATTCTGTAAGACCCATCTACTCCACTGCTTAGAATATATCCCCCAAAAATGAGAACTGAGGCACAAATGGACACTTGTACACCAGTATTCATAGCAGCATTATTCACCATCACAAGAACATGGAAACAGCCCAGATGTCCAACCACAGCCTAAAGAATTGAGGAGTTATGGTACATTCACATAAAGGAATACTATGCAGCACACAG